ATATAACAACTTTGTCATCCCAAAATTTACATTAAAGTTAAATTCATACTCAATCCAACACCGCGGACCTTATTTGTGGAAAATTTTTCCCCAGATTGTTACTATCAAAAGAAATACACTTGAACAGTTCAAATCTGAATCTAAGCGTTTTTTATTATCTACGGACTTAAATTTTCTTTTTCTTTTTTAGTAAAAAAATAAACTAGCACAATTTATTTCTTTTATTTGTTTTAACTTTTACTTTTTCTAAATTTATTTTACTAAACGAATTTATATATAAACAGTTATATCAATTGTAAAACGTAGTTTTTCACATTTTTACATATTTTATCACAAACAATTTATCACGATTTTATATATATTGTTGTAAAAAACGACCTGTAATGAAGTCACTATGGGGCTCGGTGATAAGACAAACTGATGTCTTCTTCTTACTCCAGCCATTTGTTTTATTATTTATGTTATTTTATAAATTGTAACTTTCTACGGCAAAATTAAATAAAATAAAAAAACTCTACACCATCGTCTTCAAGGTTTTGCAGGTCAATTCGAATTAGGTTTATAAAAGAAACTGCTGATGTAATAGCTGAAGAAATTGCTTACATGGAAAACAAAATTGCAGGCTTGAAACCAATTCAACTTCAAGACATAGCAGCAGAACATGTGATGATGTTAACTATGATTGATGGAAAAGTCTGTAACACAGCAACCACCACTAAATCGACCATGCGATGTAATATTTGTGGAGCAACATCAAGACAATTTAATGATTTAGACAGAACATGTGTTGACAATCAAAGCAGCTACAAATTTGGACTATCCATTCTGCATGCTAGAATACGGTGTTTTGAAAGTCTCCTTCACCTATCATATAAATTGCCTGTAAAAAAATGGCAGAAAAGGCTGAAGGAAGATGAGAAGAGACTCATCTCAGATAGGAAAAAGAAAATCCAAGATGAATTCAAGAGCAAAATGGGCATTCTTGTCGACATACCTAAGGTTGGATTTGGGAATACCAATAACGGCAACACAAGCAGGAGATTCTTCAACGACCCGGAAACATCTGCAGATATCACTGGAGTAGACTTCCGTTTAATTTCCACAATGAAAATTATCCTAGAAGTAATTTCCAGTGGCCACAAGATTGATGTAGAAAAGTTCAGACAGTATACTTTGTATAATGCAAAGCTTTATGTTGAACTATACCTCTGGTGTCTAATGACTCCAACTCTGCATAAAGTTTTAGTACATGGTAGATATAGTAGAGAATGCACTTTTGCCAATTGGACAATTGTCGGAAGAGACTACCGAAGCCAGAAACAAACATTTCCGGGAGTACAGACTTAGCTATGCTAGAAACTTTTCTAGAAAAGATTGTAACCAAGATATCATCAATAGGTTATTGTTAACATCCGACCCTCTGTTGTCTAGAATTGGAAAAAAGAAACACAAACTTACAAAGCCTTTTTCAAAAGAAGCTGTGGAACTGCTTTATCCTGGAGAAAAACAAGATTCCGACACTGAAAACAACAAAAATGAAGAATATTCTGACAATGACGAAGTGGAATCTAATTAAATATCAAAATATAGTATGTTATTTACCATAATAAAGTTTGAAAAATAATATATCTTTTATTTCCTCAAATCCTATTGAATAGAATAAAATGTAATCCCTAAAGTACCCATCTTTCCCCTATATTGAACGCCACTGGCTTGGATTTGTACAAAAAACATTTAATTTACAATTTCTTGTCATATGGTAAAGTTTTCAGCTGTTAAAAAAAGAGAAATAATTTTGGCCAGCTAAAATCGTCAAATACTCCTACGTGCGGCGATAGAGAGATTGTAACTTACTTTTTTCAGTGCTTGCCCAAGCAATATTTGCATAATTCATATAGCTATGAATGAATGCATAATAAAGTTGGGATAAAACTTTTTTATTTATATAGATTCTGGCCTTATAAAGAATTTTAATATTTTTTGAAACTTTAGTACCAACATAATCAATATGTTGCTTCCATGTGATGTTCTCATCAAGGAATATGCCTAACAATTTTGTGGTGCAATCTCTTTTTATTTCAATATGGTCAATAAAAATATCAGGTAGAGTTTGGGGTAAATAACGTTTTTTAGTTATCGAATAAAAAAGAATCCATTTTGTTTTTTTAATATTTAGGGTAAGTTTAATGCATTTGAACCAGCTAGAAATTATTTTGAGTTCTTCATTCATAGTAGTGAAGAGTTTATTAATATTGTTATCAGATAAAAATAAATTAGTATCATCCGCAAACATAATACTTGAAAGATTAGAAGCTTTATACAAGTCATTAATGTATATTAAAAAAAGAAGTGGCCCTAAAATTAATCCTTGCGGAACACCACATGAAATATCTAAAACATTTTTTTGATAAGGATTGTTAAAAGAAACGAATTGTTTTCGGTTTGTTAAATAACTTTTAAACCACTTCAAAATTACACCATCCACTCCATAATATTTAAGTTTATGAATCAAAATGCCATGATTTACTGTATCAAATGCTTTTGATAAATCCAAAAAAATACCTAAAGTGAATTGGGAATTTTTAAAAGAGTTGGAGATTTCACGGACGAATTAAATGATTGCATGCTCAGTAGAACTATTTTTTTTAAAGCCAAACTGATTTTTATAAAAAAAATTCTTCTCATTAAAATAAGTATATAATCTATTGTAAATAATTTTTTCTAAGATTTTAGAAAATGTCGATAAAATAGAAATAGGTCAGTAGTTACATATATTAGTTCTGTCTCCTTCTTTGTATATTGGGATTATCTTAGCTATTTTTAACTTATCAGGAAAAACTCCTTGTTGTAATGACGCACTGAAAATTTTAAAGAGAATATCTTTTAATTGTTCAAAGCATTCTAAGACTATGTTTCCATTTATTTCATCAGCTCCAGGGGCTTTTTTTTGTTTAAATAGATCTAAACGACACTTCAAACTCCTCAAATGATAGCTCAGAAGAAAAATTATTTGAACAAATGCAATCATCAATCGGTGTTAAAAAGTTATTGAACACAAATTGGGTATTAGGAATTTTATTTGCTAGTTTTGAACCGATATCAATAAAGAATTTGTTAAACTCATGAACTATTAATCTAGGTTCAAAAATATCTTTGTTATCCACTCTAATCACCTGCGGTAGGGAAGCTGAGCAAGTTTTTTGTTTTCCACAAATTTCTCTTAATATTTTCCAAGTACGTTTAGAGTCGTTCTTAACATTTTCAATTAATTTTGAGTAGTAATTCTTTTTTAAGTTTTTACGAGTTTTTTCAAATAGATATTTGTAATCTTTGTATATTTTTTCGTTCAAAGGTGTTTTTGTTTTTAAGTAATTTATATATAGCTTTTGTTTGATCTTAGATGATTTTTTAAAACCCTTAGTCATCCAAGGAGCATTTAAGCTTTTTTGATTTATTGTTTTTTCACAGATGGGAAAATTGGCATCATAGACAGAATAAAATGTTCTTGATTTATATCCTTGAAAAAAGAAAACTAAATATTGTTTAAGAAATGATGGTCTTGTGAAACATTTTCCCAATTGAACTTTGGTATAACTTGCAATTTATTTCGTTAACTTTTTTTTACTTTAAAAAGTTTTAATTTTTCTCATGTTATTTATTACAATTGTTATTTATTCAAAAAAAAAAAAAAAAAAATACAACTAAAAGAAATATTTTAAACATTTTCAAATATATATTTTTATTTTGTAATTTTATTAACAATAACTTTTCGGTAAGCCTAGGTGGTTCTATAAAAGGTAGATTAACTTTGAAAGTTTAAGTGTCCGTGACACAGTAGGTAGAGTTCTGACTCAGGTTTGAGGTTTGACGCCTCCTCTAATCCAAAAAGCGACATTGGTAAGGAAAGAGATGCAAACTTTTTAGTTAAATGTTTCTCCGCGTTGCTCTGTGGTAAAACCGTTAGGTCTACTTGGAGAACATTTGATCCAAATTTTTTACACAACAAGGAGTATAGTCTAATTTTAAAAGAAAGTACATAGAGTAGAAAGTAGGTAGTTCGTTCTAGAGTTTTGAAATGACACCAACTATTATTGAGGTATTATTTGTAAAGCGCAAAAAACAAAAAAACAAAACTTATAAGTATAAAATCACTTTATTAATATTTCTTAGCTGAACAAATATATAAAATTGAATGTCTTGGAAGGCAGTTTTCACCATTTTATATAAGTCAAGATATTCACGCCTTAAATAAAATGGTAACCACGAAACGAGGAATTATTAAAACTTAAAAGTACAGTAGAATAGAATATTACTTACTTAGGTAGTTCGTTCCAGAATTTTGCTGAACAAGCATAACTGATTGTGTCATGGAAAGCAGTTTAGAACATACGCACGCTTTAAATTTTTAATGGTGACCCTAGAGTTAACTTAGTTAGATGTTACTCATTAACTTTATAAAAACAATGTATTTATTTGAAGATTTGAATTAAAACGTATCGTAGACCCCAAAACTCAAGTGATTATAGATTTAATTTTCTTAGTCTATTTAGCGGAATTGAGGATGTCTCTAACTGGAAGTTCTTTTTTTTTTTACTTTATGTAAAAAAAAAAAGAACTTTTTTTTACTAAATACCTTTTTTTTAATAAACAACCTACAAATCATGAAAAACGGTAACTTTTGAGAAAAAAATACATGACACAGGAAAAAGGAAATCTGCTGTGAACAGTTATTTAAAATTTATCTACTTCGCTAACTTACCACTGCTGCTTATTAGTTGCCTTCTTATATAAACCCGTTGCTATGTAGAACAGAACATATGTCATAGTAAATAGCTAAACAGTTAACTTAATTGTTTTGGATTTTGGTGGAAAAAAATTAAATTACTTTATATATATATATATATATATATATATATATATATATATATATATATATATATATATATATATATATATATATATATATATATATATATATAAACATAAATAAAAAGTTGTAATAATAGTAGCGGTTACAGGAACTTTTTTTCATAACTACCACCAGAAAATTTATCCGAAAAAGATTTTGCCGATTCAATGAACTTTGCTGTTTCCTTCGGATTACTGCGATTTAATTTCAGGTCAGCCTCGCGATTAAAAGGCCGTCTTATCTTCGAATCGTCACTCTAAAAACAAAAATAAAGTAACGTTACCCATAATGTAGCAACTTTCTAAAAAAAAGAGTCAAAGTAAGCAAAATTTTTTTTTTTAATTTTTAAAGGTTTGTTTATCTTTACACAGGTTTGTTTACCTTCAAACAGGGCTAACTGAAACACTGAGTTTATGTTTAGATTTAATAAGAAATGGAACACCAAGTCAACTTCAAACTATTTCAATAGAAAAATCAAAAACATTTGGCGAGACCAATTTGGCGTAACCATTTGGTGTATATACTTTACATTAACACCCTATATTTTAAAAATACCCCACATAAACACCCTTTATTTTTAAGAGACGAAGGAAGAACCCTTTATTTTATATATTGAAACTATGATTGATTTGGTTTTAATATGAGATATTTAATTTGCAACTTTTAAATGAATATTTTCCTGGAACCGAATGATTTGACGAGAACGTTACTAACAGCATATATATATATATATATATATATATATATATATATATATATATATATATATATATATATATATATATATATATATATATATATATATATATATATATATATATATATATATATATATATATATATATATATATATATATATATTACTTATGTAAACTTATATTATGTAAGTTAATATTAGTGTTACTAATATTAAATGAATTGAAAAATTCTCCATTTTAAATGATTTTAATTGAATTTAAGTCTTTAGAAACATGTAAAACAGATACCGATTTTTGTTTACTTCTGTGCATTTCGAGCAATGACTGTGGTCGATTCTGCATCTAAAAAAAAATAACATGGTTTATAATACATTATTTTCAGAATGGTTCCTGCATCCTTGATTGAAAGATTTAGTACTGATTAATCCATAAATTGCGCAATTATTTGATTGCTTATCACGTGACGTTAAACACGAATAAGAACACACACGCGCATGAAGATATATGAATATATATATTTTCACACACGCGTATGAAGATATATAAATATATATTTACAAAATAATACACACACAGATATATATATATATATATATATATATATATATATATATATATATATATATATATATATATATATACACGCACACATAAATTGATCGGATTTAGACTGAAACTTGAATTCAATTAGTTTCTATAATAAAATACAATATATAGGAAAAAACTAAATTTTATTGTCATTAAAGTATTGAACTGAAAGTTACGCAATGTAACATAATTTTATTTTTGTTTTGTTTTTGGGTTGAAAGTTTCCCTAATCTTTTAGCGGAAAACAAATAAAAAATTTCTGTTGTTTCACAAAAACATTGTTTTTGTGAAACATGTATGTATGTTTTTGTGAAGCATGTATGTATGTTCAAATAATATATAAAAACTTTATAAATTGTTTTCATATACATACACGCATCCATGTATGTATGTAAAAATATATAATAAACTGGGGAACAAATATTTGCAGACTTAAACAGTTAGCCTAATAGTTATTTTTAACTAATTTTTTGGAGGGGAACCCAAAACTGATTTTAGCTTTCAAGTCAAGTTTTTTAACTATAGAATCCTCATTTTTTTAAAAATTTTGAACTTATTTACGATATACGCATATATATATATATATATATAAAAAAACAATATCAAAATACAAGAAAATAAGAAAGATACAGATGAATACAATCTTTATATAGCACTATTTATTTTTTTATAGATATAAAATTATGAGCAAGTAGTTAAGGGAGAAATTTTATAGCTTTTTCTGGAGTGTTCATTTTAAGGACTATCACATTTGACGCCAACATTAGTCAGCCATCATATGTATATCTACATGATAACCTTCAAATCTTGGTGAAATAGCACACCTTGCTCCTCACAGCACCAAGATTTTCCTAGAAGCTGAGAAGATGGTAATGCAGAAAATATAGTTTAACATGTTACAACCAAGTGCTTTGTAGCTCTCTAATAGTTTCTGAACAATTTCTGCGTAATTACTTGCACATGAATTTCCAAGAAAGTTCTTGACAAGTCCAGGAAATTGTGAGATGATATATATATGATAACAGTCACTCTAAGTAGGCAATGCTTTTACAAATTGATTTATGACGCAGAGATGGGAATATTATTTTCTTCCTTTTAACAAGTGGTTTATTTATAATGTTAATATTATTAAATATAATATAATTGTATTAATATTATATAAATAAATATTATTAAATATAATATAAATATATTAAATCTGATCTTGGAGGCTAATTTGTCTCAATGCTTCTTTTGAGTCCGCTATCCTACATACTTTGTGTACCCATGTTGACAGCCAAAAAGGAAGCACACCATTTTAAGTTCAACAAGATGACCCAGTTGTGTTTGTTGTATTGCAATAACTCAATGACTATCTTTACATCTCCACTTAATAACTATCTATCACATGTTCTTCACAGAAAACCCTATAGGAACTGCATCATACAAATCGCCATTGTGTAGAAAGGCACACTTCAAACTCTGCTTCAAGCTATCAAAAAACAACCACCATTCATCTGGATTGTAGATTGAAAGCCCTGATTCCTTCAGTAAATCAGGAATGTTATTGCAAAACACTAAGATGCTGTTATTTTTTAAAGTACTGTAGAAATGTACTTTCTCTAATTTAAAAGTATAATACCTTCACTCCTTTAAAAATTATGCGTCATATCTTTAATTCATACTGATCAAATCCCCTATAAATGCTCAAGAATTTCAAAATCTATATCGTTGCTGTCATGGCATTCTTCAACATCAATCAGGTCTTTTTCATGAGATAGTTGTTCAAAAATTTGCACTGAAATTCCAACAGAACCTTGATGAACAAGAGCGTTTGGTGGAAAAACAAATTGAGCTCATTACTACCAGGGAAATGGTGGGGATCAAACTCAGAACTTCTCTCTTATGAGGGGAGCGAACCATTACACCACCAATGCCTTTCTTGATCACAAAGTTTTACTTTAAATAATAATTTAAATGTTTTTTCTCTGACAACAAACAATGAAACAATGAAACAATTAAAAGCTATGAAGCAAAAAAATTATGAAAAAACCACAAATATAGCAAAAGAAGTCAGAGTTGTTTATACAACATAAAGAAGAGCAACATAAAAAAAAGAAGACATGATATGAAAGTGATATATTTATATACCTATGTAAGTAAGTAAAACACAAAGATCAAATATTTATAAGCTTAGAAAACTAAAAAAACAGCATACAGTGAAATAACACTTGAATATATTGATTGTACTGACCAGTTGGAAGCTATTAACACCACTCATCACACGTTTTTAAATTGTAACTGCCAATAAGAACTAATGTAAACAAAGCAAAAGCTAAACAATGGAATTTTCCATATCTGTAGGGTAAACTGTACAAAAAAAAACTTGACATAATGGAAAAAAACTGATGGCAAATTCTTAGATAACATCAGCAAGTCAACAGAAAAAAAGTTTCAAATTGTTCTAAAGTGTTATTTAATATAAAAAAACATTTTATATATTAATTTTATATAATATAATTATATATGCTTTATTTAAACTAAGGGTTCGTAATATATTATATATTAAGCATCCTAAATTCAGATAAAATAAAAATTCAAATATAACAATATTAATGAGAAAAAAATAATTATATTTTAAATAGAAGTTTTTGCGCTAACCTCTCTGTGCGTGACCATTGTAACTTTTCTATTTAATCAAAACAAACATTGTATTCATTGTGTGTGACCATTTTAAAAATATTTAAACAACTTACATTGTATTCTGTTATGCGAGTTTGGGTTTCAATATCATCTTTTGAAGGTTGATGTATTTCTATAGGCTTTTTCTTTTTCAAAACACCAGATTTTGCTGCTTCCTCTCGCTCCTATTTGCAAAGTACAATCTTTTTTTGAAATAAAAAAAAAAAAAAAAAAAAAAACATTTGGAGAGTATTCGAAAGGAATCGAAAAGAATTGTTGGGCACTTTTTACAAGCCTTTGAGATTTTTATCACAATATTTTAAAAATTTCAAAATAAAATTATAAAACTACTTGCAAATTTACAAATATCTTTAAACCTTGCAACCAATTAGTTCACCTTTCTTTTATGTTCTCTACTAGCTGGTGTTTCTGTCCATACAGATCTATCCCCAAGTTCAACAGGATTTGCACGAAAAGTTCTTGGACCTAATCCTATAAAAATCATTTCATATTTTTCAATCTATATCTTTTAATATGTTAAATCCTCAAAATACAAAAACGCATAAAAACACTACATATTATAATATAAGTATGCTGTTAAATTTTCCACAATAAATTAAGAGACCCCCCAAGATAACTTTGTTATCCAAATTCTAATTTAATGATATAAAAATGTATCGCTTGTTTAAAAAGTTCTCATTAGTTTTAATATAAAGTCTTGTATAAAAAAAACAACTATTATTTAACAGTGAACCAAAAAATAAAAATTGATATAATGCAAAATCACATTAAAAGTACAATCTTATATCACATTAAAATCACATTAAAAGTACAATCTTATATCACATTAAAAGTACAATCTTATATCACATTAAAATCACATTAAAAGTACAATCTTATATCACATTAAAATCACATTAAAAGTACAATCTTATATTACATTAAAATCACATTATGTTATAATCACAAAACCACATTATAAGATGCAAAATCACATTACAAGTAAATATGATATTATTAAATGAAGTAATCAAATATCCTATTATGGGAGTCTGATCCTATTATGGGAGTCTGGAAAAAAATTAGCATAAGAAAAATAAAACATTTAAGGTTATTCCAAAAATTCCAGAGTCAAATGCCTTTTGATCAACAATATCAAGTAACCATGTCCAGGCCTTCTCGTAAGAGGCGTGCGATCGGACGCTTTATATGACCACGCATATAGTTCTTTGTTTTAACAACTTGACCACGACTCTTCGGCAAGTTTCGATAATTAGCGCGTTAAAAAAATGCGCTAAAAGAAAACAAAGCAAATGTAAATTGTCAAAACTTGCAATGAGCTGTGGTCAAGTTGTTAAAACAAAGAACTATATGCGTGGTCATATAAGGCCTGCTATCGCACGCCTCTTACGAGAAGGCCTGATGTCAGTAATTAAATGGTTGTCTAAAACTTGACAACCATTGGCTCATAGATCAGAAAATTTATGCACATTAACCTTTTGGATAAAAATATGTGTTAATTAGATGTTACTATTAACATTAATATAACCAGCTATTTTTCGATCACGTACATCAACATATGACCCAACAGCTAGTACATGAAACTGACAGCTAGTACATCAAATGACAGCTACATACATGACTTAACAGCTATCTACACAACCTGACATCTATGAACATAACCTGATAACTAATACATGATCTCACAGCTAGTAAATGTTATATATAGCTATGTACATAACCCAACATCTATGTACATAACCTAACAGCTAGTACGCGTCCTGATAGCTACTACGTGACATGACAGCTACTATATGATATGACAGCTTGTACATGATAAGACAGCTTGTACAAGACTCGAGAGCTAGTACATGACACCTTTTTACTTTTTTGCAGTTTTTAGAAATAAATTCTAAAAACTGCAAAAATGTAAAAAAGTGGTAACTCTACTCATTACACTGTATCAATTATGTAAATAAACTAATAGTAATACAATGTAAATTATTTAAGTAAAGTAAATAAATATTTGTTTTACATGAATATGCAATATTAGATACATTACCAAAATTTTTAGATAAACTTGGAGGTAGTTCTAACATCCAGCTTTCTCGCTCCACAATTTCTTCCGTCTAAAAAAATATTAAAAAAGCAATTACTGCACATGATTAAACACATTTTTTATTTTATCTTAAAAGATATATCATAACAACTTACAAAAAAAATAATAATAATAATAAACTGAAAAAATAATAAAAAAATAAAAATAAAAATTAATTCTGTGAAAACCTGAAACTTTATTCTTAAAGCTTATATGTTTTTCACATTTGTGTGTAACAAAAATCTTCTTACTTTTTAAAAATAATTAGTTTGAATAGACTTTCAGTTTATTCAAGCTAATTATTCTTATTTATTTTAATGTTTAATTATTTTAATTATTCCTAATTATCTGCAAGAAAAACAAGTAGTAAAATCTTTGCTTTGCCTCAATTAAAATTTTCCAGTTTAAATATAAATTTTTATTCAGCATTATTTTTTTAAAATAGAATAAAATTCTTTAAAATAGAGGATATATAAAATAACATTTTTATCACAAGAAATTCATAACCTTATACAAAAATGTAAACAAACAAATTTGATTGATCAAAGTTATTCAAATTAACTTTTTATCGAAAAAGATTTTGTTTAAAGTTTTTAATAATAAAATTATGATGAAAAGAAATTAAATTTAGGAATAAATCAAAAAAATGACCCTGGAACAATTAAAGAAATAGAAAAAACAACTTCTGAAAACTTAAGCCCAATAGTGTAGGAAACATAAAAAAATGGGAAATGTAAAACATAAAAAAAAGGTCAAAAAATTTGCTGAGAAAAAGAAGTCCAGCGTTATAGTGTAATATTTCTTTATTTGTATTGCTACAAATTTTTCTTTTTGTTTTTTATTGTATAAAAAAATGTATATATATGGTGTTTAAACAAATTTTTGGTAGTTTTTGTAAATTTAAAAAAATATTATTTGATTGTTTTTAATGTTAATTAAATATTTAAGGAAAGAGCTCAATAAATTTATGTATATTAAAAGTCAATATCATTTTGTTGAAAAACTTATCTTTTAAATTGGCTGAGATTTAAGGGCCCCTCAACAAAAGTAATACTGTGATGATGGTTTAGGTACATGTTAATAGAAATTCTTTTAGTGTTTGTTTAAATATTTTCATAAAACTTCACTAAAAAGAAAAATTCAATGAAAATATGTAATTAAAGAGAAATTACATAAAGTTGTCTGCAAGTGAAATGTCTAAAAAAGTTTTCTGCAAGTGAAGTGTCTAAAAAAGTTGTCTGCAAGTGAAGTGTCTAAAAAGGTTGTTTGCAAGTGAAGTGTCTAAAAAAGTTGTCTGCAAGTGAAGTGTCTAAAAAAGGTGTCTGCAAGTGAAGTGTCTAAAAAAGGAGTCAAAAAACTTGAAAAGATTAGCATCTGAAAGTTATGAAAAATTTAAGCAAATATTGGTATTTATGCAAAAAGATGTTTTTTTGAATATATTTAAAGATCCAGATTGAATCCAAAATAAAGATATGTAAGCAATAAAAAAAAAATTAAAGAAAAACAAAACAACTTAAGGGAAACAAAGTTTGATTAGTTTCAAGTGAAGTTTAAAATGCTATTTTATAATGAAAGTTTTGCAATGCATCACTGAAAGTTTTGCAATGCATCACAAAATATTAATAAAAACCTTTCCAAGAAGTTTATTTTTCATGGCTTCTGCTCGTTGTTCAATTTCTTTCTGAACTTGTTCTGAGTTAGATACCTTGAAAAATTAAAAATTAAGTTAAAAACTTTCAAAATTTAATAATTGTTCTGGAATAAAATACCTACATTAAAATAATTTTACTTCTTTAAAAATATGTTGTTTAACAATAATAAACTTACATTATCTTCATTATGAGTTAACAATGATGGACCAATAAAATCATCTTCTTCTGAATCATCTGAAATCAACTATTTATTCTTATCTTTTAATATCTTCCTTTGAAAATCATTATCAAATGTAAAAAGTATTTTATGTAATGAAACAAAGACAAGAAAATCTTTTTTTACTATGGAAAAAAAAAAAAAAAAAAAAAAAAGCAACCGTTTTTTTTTAAATACATTTTTAGCTTAACTAAACCAAAAATCTTTCACTTTCGATTTCATTTTTCAAAGTAACCAAACAACTTTTTATTAAATAATAAATCAGACAAAAAAATATAAAACAAAACCAAACAAAAACAATTAAAAATACCTAAGTACCTTTATTTATTGACTTTAATATATGACTAGGAATTGAAGGTCCAATGACTTTATTTTCAGTTGATGGAAAACCTGGTGGAAGACTGGGGCCATAAAAGCTATCATCATCATCTTTCTTATCTTCATCTGAACAAGCGTTGATTACATTTAGTAAATGTGGAGGAATTTGAGGACCAATATTTGTCATTTTAGTTTTAATTCAAATCTTTATTTATTTATTTCTACAAATAAACTACTAATTTTTATTATATATCTATTTAATTATTTATTTATTATTATTACCTTTTTATTTAGATAATATAAAATAACAATATAAGTACTGTAAATTAAACAATTGGTTTACTTAAATTAAACAAGTTTAAATAAAAAACCAGTTTAAGTAAATTAAACAACTAGTTTACTATATTTTTTTAACATCCTTCTTTTAACAACATTAACTTTTAACAAAACTAACTTTTAACAGCACTAACTTTTAACAACACTAACTTTTAACAAAACTAACTTTTAACAACACTAACTTTTAACAACTCTAACCTTTAACGACACTAACTTTTAACAATACTAACTTTTAACAACTCTAACCTTTAACGGCACTAACTTTTGGCAGCATTAACTTTTAACAACACTAACTTTTAACAAAACTAACTTTTAACAACACTAACTTCTTACACAAAATACTGTAAATTGGAGGAAAAATTTGATTTAAAATTTGCTTGAAGAAAATGTAAATATTAACACACTATACCTAAAGGCAATTTTTGTATACCTAAAGACAGCTTTTTATACGCCAAATGAGTATAATAAAAAGTGTAGCAGGTATTTATATATTTACAAGAAAAATTAAAAAATATTTTATTTTTTTCCTTCTATCATTATAATATGATAACCAAAATTTGTTTTCACTGGAGGATCTGTGTATATTGGATTATCTACTGTGCTGGGTTGAAGTGCAAAAGCTGCATCTTGGAAAGGACCAACCTAAAAATAAATTTATTATTTTATTATAATATATAATAACATTAACTTATTATAATGCTAATTAAATTTCATTAACATTTTTAAATAAACTTTTAATCATAATATATAAAATCTTACTCATTAATTTTTTTTTATGCATAACGTTTAAAAGAAGTCTTGCATAAATAAATGTTTTTTTTTTTGTATAATGATTGAAAGATCTTGTATGAATGAATGTTTTTTATTTTTATAGGGCATCTTGTATGAATGAATGAATGTATGAATGAGTAAATTATCTTCTATAAATGGAGAACATTCAATACTAATTTTGAATGAAAAATAATATATAAACTTATATTATTTTTCATTACATATATATTATATAAAGAAAAAACTTTATACAATATATGTAATTTTTTTAATTTTTATGTAATAATTATTATATACAATTTCATATTAGTTACTCATATGAATAAAAATAATTATAAGCCAGTAAAAAAAATAAATTTTAAAATAAAAATACCATTGAACCTCTAACCATCCATCCTAAATCTCCCTAAAAAGTAAAATAAAAAATCAAGTCTCCCTAAAAAGTAAAATAAAAAATCAAGTCTCATTAAAAAGTAAAATAAAAAATCAAATCTCACTAAAAAATAAAATAAGGAAAAATCAAATCTCCCTAAAAATTAAAAAAAAATTTTAATAATTTAATTTTTGAAAAATCCTAAAAAAATCTCAGGATGAAAAAAAAACAAACAAAAAAATAAGAACAAAAAATGCTTTTCTCAAGTTTTTAAAGAAAAATTTACCTTTTTAGATTTAAAATTCACTGCTAACTTCATTAAACAGTATTAAACAAATATGAAATATTCAGAAACATTTATATAATGGATTTAAAGAAACTTATTCCCCTCCTCCTTTAATATTAATTTATAAATAATTTCATTTTATTTTATTTATTATCAAATTTTATTTAAAAAAATGGATGATGGATTCCTAAGTAGAAGGGATAAGAAATCCATAGTGAAGTTTAAAGCTAGAACTTATTAGAAAGTGTAATAAATGTCTAGCAGAAAATCTGGAAAAATTGCAATCTAGGATCAAGTGTAAAAAATCAAACCTAATTGATAATGTCAAAAAGAATGATTTAATTAAAAATAACTGATTATATATAAAAAAAAAAATAGTTAAAAATACATTCTAATAGGTTTTTTAACTTTGCCTTATCATTATTCTAAAACATTTTACCATTTTGTTTTAAAATTATGAAAAGCTATCTCTTATCTTAAATACATTTTTTAATTGTCATTTGCTAAATTCTTATATTTACAACTATAGCTACAAATGTTGTTTCTTTACTGCATCTCTTATACTCTTTTAATGCCTGTCAAACGACTCTCATGCACCTCTGATACACCTCTCATGCACCTCATAAAATCAAATCAAAATGTATTCTGAAATAGATTTTAGAGTAAAGTTAAGATGGATAATAGATGGCAGTAGAGTAGGAATTAAGAAAAATAAATGTTTAGTAAAAAAATTAAATACTTTTTGATTTGGAAAATGTAGGGAAAGATATTAACTGTGAGGGGAGACTATTGCATGTGCATATGCTCTGATATTTAATAGATTCATGGCCATAATAAACAGTTCTATGTTTTGGTATAGATAGTTTGAAGCTTTTAGCTGATCAAAGTTGATAAAAAGTGTTTTTTTTATAAATTAAAAAATCAGTAAATGGAGGAGGAAAGGTTTTATGTTGTTTTTTCCAAACAAACAAACAGTTGGAGTGTTGAATAAGGTCTTTTAATTTAAGTATCTTTGTTCATAGATCATCCTAGTCGTATTTTAAAAATCCGGAAATTGTTTAGGTAAAAAATCCAGAATACATTTTCCCTTATATTCCCCTTGATTTTGATTTTAGCTGAGTTGTTTCCATTTTTTTTTTCAATTTTATTAATTCTTGTATGAGCAATGAGTAAAAACGCTTAAAAAAGAGATGTATTACAAAAATATTTACCTAAACTCGTATGTATGGAAAACATTTTGGATATCCGGAAAAACTTAAAGTTGAGAAAAATATCCGGAATTCCGGAAATATCCGGAAAAAGATAATCCCTGCTTTGTTTAAAATAAGGTCTTTTAATATAAGTATCAAAATACTTGATAAAATTCACAGGATCTATTTTTTGACCACTTAATCTGAAACTCAGGTGCTTTTTTATTTTTGTTTGATTTGATTTAAATATAATAATTTCAGTTTTTTCGGAATTAAGTGATAATTTATTGGAAAGAAGCCGATGGAGTAGATTCGCTTAGTCATGGTTAATATTTTTCTTAATCTTTTTTATTTATTAAAAGCAGATTGGTGTCATTAGTAAAATGGTAAGCAGTGGAAAACTTCAGAAAGGTATTAAGATCATTAATAAAGAAAAGGAAAAGCAATGGTCCTATTACAGAACTTTGTGGGACACCATTTATTGATTTTTTTAATTTAGGTTCCATCCCATTACTAGAAATAAATTGTGTTCTATTTTGAAGATGAGAAAACCATTGAAATGTTGTGACTCTGATACCATAGTACTTTAATTTTCTGATTAGAATCAGAAAATTGGAGTACTAATACCACCTTAGAATCAGAAAATTGGAATACTAATGGTCAACTGTATCAAAGGCTTTCTGGAGATCAACAAAAACACCAAATGCAAACATTTTATTGTCCAAAGCTGTTCTAATTTTTTCAGTTATATCAATTAGTGGATGAGTTGTTGAATAATTCTTTCTAAACCCATACTGATTTTTATAAAGACACTTGAATTTCTACAAAAAGTTGTAGAGTTTATTGTGCATAGCTTTCACAAATATTTGAGAGAAGAGAAATAATTAGATCAATCCAGCCAAGAACCTTTTTTATGTATTGGTGTCACTTTAACTATCTTAAAAAGATCTGGGAAAATTCCATTTCTAAATAAGTTAATCATCATTATGGCTTTGAGATTTTGTTTGGAATAAGCTTAAGATTACATTACTTAAGATTACCTCTCATGTACTTTCTCATGTACCTCTTAAACACTTCTCATACACCTCTCATGTACTTCTCATGTACCTCTTAAACACTTCTCATGCACCTCACATGTACTTCTCATGTTACTCTTGTAAACCTCTCACACACCTCTCGTGCACCTCTCATGTACCTCTTATAAACCTCTCATACACCACTCATATATCTCTCATACACCTCTCATTCACCTCTTATGCACCACTTATACACCTCTCATGCACCTTTCATACACCTCTCATGCACCTCTCATAAACTTCTTGTTAAAACATTTTAAATGTTATAATCAACTTTATCATTAGTTTATAAGATGATTACTATTTAACTTTCTTTTAAAGTTTTTCAATTCTTACCCCAGACCTTGCTTTGTCTTCACTATATTGTGTAGCAACATCACTAAATCGTTTACCAGCTTTCAAAAGTGCCATTGCTTCCATACACTTTCCTTGTTTTTCACACAGGATATGACGCACCTACAAACCAAAGAAAAAATCTTCAAAAATTAATAAATATTCATTTAGAAGCAAAGAATGAATCACTCTTGAATAAAAAATTTTGGAAAAGAAAAATTTTTTTTAATTGAAATTTAAGAAAATTAAAAAAAAATTCTTTGCTTTTAGTTCTTCTTCTTAAAGCAATAAAAAGTTGATTACTTGTAAAGTTTTAAAAAAAGTCAAATCTAGTCATATTAAAAAATTAATTTTTGAGATTTGAGATTTGGGTATTAAAACTTGAGATTTGGGTATTAACTTTATTTAGATAAAACTAGGAGTGTTCGATTTCACTTTCCTTTTAAGAGAGTAAAAAATTTTTTAATAATTTATTTATTTAAGTTTAATTGCCATAAAAAAATGTTCAATTTTAATGAGTTTCCAACTTTCTGGGAAGTGAAAATATTGTGAATTCAATCTGTTTCCAATTTTCAGAAAGTGGAAAATATTTAAAAATTAATCACTTTCTTTAAATTAAATTAAATTCGACCTTACTTTCTTACACTTTCCAACCACTTTTCATTGGAAAGTCATTAAAAAAATTATTTAATTTTTATCTATTTTATCAATTTCCGACCACCTGGAGCATATTAAGAACTGTCCCAGTTTATTAATTTCAAAAAACAAAAAAAGTTTTAATGTAAAACTAGGAAAGACAACCGCCCCTACTATTTGTTAAATGCACTGGCTTGATTACGCAAAGATGTTTATACATAAGTATCTCTATTATACTTTTAAGTGAACTATTTGGAACAAATACCTACTCACCCTACTCACCTTACTCACAAAGGTTACTCACCCTACCCAAAAAATCAAAAAGGACAAAAAAATCATAAAGAATTTGAAAAATAAATTTATTACCGTTGATGACTTAATTCTTTTTTAAATTATAAACGTAAATTTATTAAATTTTAAAGAGTTCTTCATGTTAACGCCAAAGAAAAAAAAAGATTATAAAATAAACAAAGGCTGGTATTTTGAAAATAAAAGCATTTTTTCCTTTTTACTATTTTCCCAAATCGAATTTAGAATAAATATATTTCAGACGCCAAACAAACTGGACAACACTTCCTATAGTTTTTTTGAGTAATATAATATGTTAATGAAATTTCTTTTTAATGCATTTAAGGGAGCTTATTAAATTAGCCTTTGTCTTTGGTGATTAAATTTACACGCTAAAAATGGTAGTGATTTCACAAGATAAACGTTTACTGGGAAAAATAAACTTTTGTGGTATAGAAGCTTCCCTAAGTTTTTCAGTCAAATTTGGAAAAAGACTCATCAGGCTTCCTATCTTATTTAGTACAGTTTGAAAGTATTGGATTATACCAGCATCTTCTGTTGCAGTAGAATCTGCATTTAGTGAAGCAAACTTTATTCAAAGAAAGGAAAGAAGTTTTAATTTTTTCATCATTTCATCAAAAAATTTAGATTTTACTTAACTATTTTTTAAGAGTGCAAAAAAATATATAAAATATAAGATATATATTTATAAAACTAATAAAATATTATAAACTATTTGTAAAAAATAAATCTTATTAAACAAAGAAAATTAAAATAAAAATAATTATTTAATTTTTTTTTGACTTTCCAATGGGAAGTCATTAAAAAGTGTAGTGTCAGAATTAATATTTATGTTGTGTAAAAACCTAAAGAATAAATAATTTTTAAATACTTTCCACTTTCCGAATATTGAAAATAGATTGAATTCAATCCATTTCCACTTCCCGGAAAGTTGGAAATTTTTATTTTTTTGCCTTTAAACTATATAAATAAAGTATATAAGCTATAAGTATATAAACTTAAAGTGTATTAACTAAAATATATAAACTTTAAACTATATAAATAAACTATAATTAAATTTTCCAATATAAATACACTTAATTTGTAAACACTTTCCAATTCAGAAGAAACTACTTTCTGTAACTGGTTAGAAAGCAAAATCGAACACACCTAGATAATGTTTAAAAAAACATTACTATTAAAAATTATGATGGCAAATAAATACATTATTAAAATTAGGTTTTAACATTAAGTTATGTTGATGATCTAATATAAATAACAAAAACTCTTCTTTCTAAAATAAGATCATCTCATCCCAGAAACTCGCTGTATCTGAAAAACACACTGTCTCTGAAAAATAAAACCGTTAACTCATGTTTCACAAGATTAAAACAGAAAAGTCAGTTGAAACTTTTATAGGAGATTCTAAATGATGATCAGATGAATGTGTGGTGGACTTAAAAACAAGAAACAAAGCCATGATCTTAGACAGAGATTAGAAATAGTGAGTTTATCAGAAAAGATTTGCCAGAGAAGATTGTTTTGAGTATGTTGATGTAGCACCATGTAG